CCATGCTCTCACACAAAGGGTCATAAAACTCCCCAGTATTTCCAACCTCCCGCTTGGAATTTCAGCCTTTCTCATTGGACAAGCCCATCCTGAGAGGCGTGAATCTTCTCAGACCTTAAAAGGCTCACGCACAGTTCCGCCCATGTTTTTCTTCTGCTAAGTCTTCTGCTAAAACCTTCTGATTGCGGCCCTTGTGGAGAGCCTGAGCCGGTGCGGGCGTGCCCGGTAGGCTCCAACACATAGTCAGTCAGTCTGCGGTTCTGTTAGATTCTCAGAAGATGAGAATGTGAGCTAGAACGCTTCTGCAACTCTTAAGTCTGCACCAGGCTTCGGCCTTGTCTTTACATTCACCGAAGATCCTTGGATCTCAGCTGATGTCTCTCTTAGCTCTTTTTCACTTTCCACTGGGAAGAATCTCCCAATCACCATCGAGTCAGAACATCTTTGGAATTCATCACTCTTCAAACCCAGAAGAACATGATCGCAAGTCCAAAACCTTGAAACCATCAAGACTTTCATCTGAGACTGCATCCAGACACTCGTCAACGACCAAGGCAATGCACATATCGTACATTTAACTAAACAAAACAGAGGTTTAGTATAAGCTGTAGACCCCGTTCTAAAATGGCGCTGATGGTTTCACTCAGGTGGTTAACTGACTCTTTTCATAGCTTCATTCTCTGGTTTTTCCTGATGGCTTCATCCATCAAGCCTCATTTGCCCATTCCCACGGCCCCCCTCCTTGTCCCGGGCTTCAGCCCCGACTAGCCCAATGATTAATGCGGCCCTGGCGATAGCGTGGACTCATCTGACCATAGCACACATTTCCACTGTCTTTTTTGACTCTATGAGATGTGCTCTGGCCCAGAGAACCCAGCGGCATCACTGCATAAAATTGATGTATAGCTTTCTCCCCGTGTAACAGAGATTCAAGTTGCATTTCGGCAGACTGTAGTAAATGACAGCGTTTTTCTGACGTACACTCTTAAAAATAAAGATGCTTCACAATGCTATAGAAGAACCTTTTTTTGTCTAAATGGTTCCATAAAGAACCTTTAACATCTGAAGAGCCTTTCTGTTTGAGTTCTTTGTGGAACCAAAAATGGTTCTTCTATGGCAGGGGTGGCGACCTCCGGTCCTGGAGAGCTCAGCTCCAACCTTAATTAAAACTCACCTGCCTGTAGCTTTCTAGTAACCCTTCAGACCTTGATTAGCTTGTTCAGGTGTGTTTGATTAGGGTTGAAGCAAAACTCTGCAGGACTGACGTTCGCCACCCCCGTTCTATGGCATTGCTGTGAAGAAACTTTTAAGCACCTTTATTTTTAAGAGTGTACTTCTGAGCACATGTGGCAATATTTAACACCACAGCATGATGGTTTCTTATGAAATGCCATTTGAGGGCTCAAAGGTCATGCACATTCACCTGAGGTTTCCTGCCTTGCCCTACATGTATTTATCTGGATTGCCTGAATCTTTTCACAATATTACGTATGATAGTTGGTGGATGTAGCAACTCATAATGTAGTAACTTCACATAATGTAAAAACTGCACATAATGTAATACATTGTTCATAATTTAATAATTTTCTCAAAATGTAATAAAGTCTTGAGCTCATAATGTAACAATTTTTCAATGTAATAAAATGTTTTCACATAATGTAATAGGTTATTGTATGATAAATTTATCACATTATGAACACACTGTGGCAACTTATAATGTAATCACAGTTCATAAGGTAATACCAGCACACAATTTAAAATAATTATTATTATATGTTTACAATATCATAATTATCTTTCAATATAATAAATTTGAGCACAAAACATAATCATCGTTTTGTTAAGAGAAAATTAGGCTTATTAGGCTCATTAGGCCACATTATGAACTTTTATTTTTTCATAAAAAGCTTACTAATTTTGTGTTTATGACATGATTAATTTTTGAGATATAGGCCTGGTTTCACAGACAGGGCTTAGACTAAGCCAGGATTAGGCCATAGTTCAATTAGGACATTTAAGTAATTTTTAAAAGCGTGCCTTAGAAAAAAAACATTACTGGTGTGCATTTTGAGACAAAATAAAGGAACTCATATTTTAAGATCAGTCAGACCAAGTTTCTTTCAGTTGAAACAGCTCAGACTTAGATTTTAGTCTGGGATTAGGCTTAATAATAATAATAATAATAATTAGTTACATTTATATAGCCCTTTTCTGGGTACTCAAAGCACTTAACAAGAAAGCGGGGAATCTTCTCAACCACCCGAGGTCACACCTCTACTCTTTTCGAATAACATCCTGGGATTTTTAATGACCACAGAGAGTCAGGACCTCGGTTTAACATCTCATCCGAAGAACGGTGTCAGGGTTGGGGATGAAGGCTAGAGCGAGGATTAGTGCGGGAAGATAAGGGCTTTATTAATAAAATAAAACAAAACAGACAACAAAAACTACCCCGTGGGGGAAAAACAGGCTGGCAAGGCTAGGCAAGGCAGGATCTGGACATGACACGACAGGACACATCCAGGGAGATACGAAGACGAACTGGCCCGGGACTGGAAACACAAGGAGAATAAATGATACAGTTGGCATAGGAAAAAGGGTTAAAGCTTAAGCAGTAAAGAGAAGAGAAATAAAAACATGAAGCTATGGACCATTTGATATTCAGCAGATCTCCAGCCTGAAGGGAACCTCAGTTTCTTAGTTCAAACACACCTTTGTAAAAAGGCACAAATGATACCTAATGTATCAATATTACTAAGTTTGATACTTGCACGTCTTGTCTGTCTGAACCAATAATCAGGTAACAAGATGTGTGGGGTCAAGACAATTGACATGAGAGCACATGGCACACAGGAAAGAAAGACAAAAGCGATGTGCTCACACAAAACAAAACGCGAACACGCAGCTAATGAGAAAACTAATAAGCCGCGTGTTCACACAAGACAAGATAGCACGCAGTCAGTGAAAAACCAAGCTGCGTGCTACACAGCACAAGACATAACAGGACATGAAAGGACAACAACAACACAAGACAACAAGAAAAGCACGTGGCTGAACACAAACCGCGTGCTACACAATACACAACACACGTGGACAGAAGAGCGCACGGCCGAGCGAACTCGAGACCGCACGCTCACACAACCAGACAGAACATGGAGCGCGAGTGTCCGGACCCCGACACGAAACCGAAACTCAAAACATGAAACATAAAACAGTATACGCAGACGAGAGCGCACGGCTTGAGCACTCTCGAAGCCGCCCGCTCACATGAAAACAATGATATGGCGGGAGTGTCAGGGCTCTGTCACAAAACCATGAATTACACTAGACCGAAGTGACAGAATCCTGACAGACGGTGCTTTTTTACAGTATAGTGTCCGCGTCACTATACTGGGGCGTTAGGACCCACACAGACTGCAGGGTGAGCACCCCCTGCTGGCCTCACTAACACCTCTTCCAGCAGCAACCTAGTTTTCTCAGGAGGTCTCCCATCTAGGTACTGACGAGGCTCAGCCCTGCTTAGCTTCAGTGGGCAACCAGTCTTGGGCTACAGGGTGATATGGCTGCTGGCTTAACACTTGTCTGTGAAACCGGGGGATAATCATTTAAATGGTTGTTATAAAAACTTGTTATATTCTACACAAATGTATAGGCCTAATGTATTTATAATTTTGGCGATATGATTAGACGATTTTATCTTCCTGAGGTAAATGTCACGTAACTGACACATTCTTTACAGGCTGTTATACTGATGATTTCCCTGGTTAAAACCACTTATAGGCACAGAAATGATACGTGATTGTAAGTTTAACTTTATTTTTCAACATATCCTATACACATTCATGTTATAACTTGTATTAAAGTGAAGAATTGTTCATTTAACTTGTGCTCCATGCTGCCGTTGCCTGAGACAGATAACGCAATCTATCTCAGACTACATTAGACTCAGGAAACTTTTTTCCAAATTTGTTCATAAAAAAATGCCTTCAATTCAAGGACATAGAATTTAGTAGGGGTGCAACTGAATTGTTCCTAGCAATAATTTTGATCAATTAAAATATATTTATATGTAACCACTGTCGTTGTCATCATACCACGGACATTACCTGAGATGTTAAAAGTCCACATGAAATCAAAATGTACAATATGTATTTTGTTAGCGCACATTGCTAGCCTTAAGGTCAACAATTAACCTGTGCAAGTTAATCCTCTGAAAAAAATTGTTTGTTTTGGTAATCTTTAATCAAAATCTGATTATTTCCTTCCACTCTGGAATGGCATGCCTTCTCTGATGATGTCAGTTTGACGGCTTGGGCAGAATATGCTTAACCATGCCCCTCCGACAATAAATTTGCTGTGTAAAACCCCACCCTCTACTCAATATTCCATTTCAGTTGGAAATACGCCACCACACTGAAATCCAGTCGGCAGCAACTTTCGGTTCACGCGGATTTTATAAATATGTCAGCAAACTGTGCTCTTTCAAGGATGTGCATTTAATGCACGGCCAAAGTAAGAACATAATCTAAGTGTTTAAAACATGCAAAGTAGGATTGCCAACTTTTCCCGTATTTAAGCAACATTCCATATTAAATCCATACAGAAAACTGTTTATTATGTCACGCCCAGTTTAGGGAGCTATTCGCTCTCACAAAAAAAAACAAGTTGCACCCTTAGTTGAAACTATAATAATAACATATGTGGCAAACTATTCTGTGCATATTTGCATTTGTGGTCTGGAGAGCATCAGATGTTTCTATTTACAATGTTTGCAGCGTTGAGCAGTGTAGCTAATCACAGACACATCCATTGATTCAATGAACTGAGATGAGTGACAGGCTCAGTGCATTTGAAATTATAAAGGGAGCACTCTTTGCACACATACTAGACTATATGTAATGCATTCAGAATTTTAATTAAAGGTTTTTTGTTTTTTTATCATGATGCTAAGATGAACAATGTCCCCTCACTAGAGTTCAGCTATAGTTTAGTTTAGTTATTCTATGAATGCTAAAACGAATCTCAGGTGTGAACATATTTGCTTTGCTTAATCCATTCATGTACAAATTAATTCTAAAAAGAAATTAATTTGTACATTAAAAGATTAAGCAAAGCAAATACCTGTATGTTCACGTTGAGATTCACTTTGGCATTTATCTCTATATCGCTATCTTATATATATATATGTATATATATATATATATTAGTGCTGGGCAATGAACCAGGCGGGACCCAGACCACAGCCATGATGGCGGCCCATGGTGGAGCCGACGGAGGGAGAAGCCATGGTGGAGGAAGGGCCGACGACTCCAGGGGGCCGACCAACGGTGGCGGAGCAGGAGCCTGAGACAGAGACGGAGAGCCGATGAGCCTGGGTGATGGGGAGGATCCGGAGGGCCAGGGTGGAGCCGAGGGCTCTGGCGACTGTGGCGGAGATCTGGAGGTCCACGGCGGAGCCGGAGCAACTGAGGACCAATGTGGAGCTGGAGGGAGGGAGGAGCCCAACGGAGCCGGTGGGACGGAGCGACAAGGTGCAGCTGGAGGAGCAGAGTCCTGAGGCGATGGTGGGTCAACGACCGACCAAGGCGGAGCCAGAGGGACGAGGGAGCCCGGTGAAACTGGTGGGCCGACGGGCGATGGTGGAGACGAGGGTGCTAGGAGCCGAGGTGGAGCCACTGGGTCGAAGGGTCGAATATATATATATATATATATATATTAGTGCTGGGCAACGATTAACATTTTTAATCACGATTAATCACATGATTTTCTGCGATTAATTGCATTGTTATGCACATATTTCATAATGAATTCAAAAGTAGTGTATTGTGCACTTTTTTCATTTAAAAGTACTGCTATATGAACAAAAGTGCAATAACATTTGGTTTGCAAACACTTTAAACAAATAAGGTGCTT